GTGCTTCAGTCCATTTTTGCCTGTTGTAACAACAACATGACACATGTGCAGTCTGTTTCGGTTGCATATCCCCATAAACGGACTCTGTGTTGCATGTTATTTTGGTTCAGCTGGGTTTGAAATTGCAATGTTATTAAGTATTTCCTGTTATCAAAAAAAAAAAAAAAATTAAATGGGGTAAATGAGATGACAGAATTTTTACAACCCTGTCCATCAACATGACAGACAACCTCTCTGACCCATCGTATTACTTATGGGGAAAAAAAATAAAAGAATAGATGAAGTCCACAAAAGATTTCTTGCCTCATTTCTTTCTTTCTCTTCACTTCCAGTGTAGCAGAGCTTTATGATCTCCAACTTTTGAAAGCTGCTGACGCATTATACAGGTTGCCTCAGAGGCAGAAAGCAACAGAATAAAAAATGATTCTCTGTCACGTCTTCACTGGATTCAACCCCTTTCACTGCCTCTCACCTCAGTAAGCTGGGCCTGGAGCTCCGCAATTTTCCTCTCATATATCATTTTTCTGTCAGACACGATGGCCATTAGGTTGAACCGGATCTCACCCTCACTGTACCTGAAGAAGGAAACAATGACGTGTAATTACAAAGTATCTGGTTAACACAAGCCGTTCCTGAAATACATGTACAACACACAATGTTTACTTCTGTATTCTTTTCTCAATCACAGGGCGGACTGCGCTGATCCAGTCATCCTGGTTGCATGCACCTGGTGACAAAAAACAGGAAAAAAAAAATAATAGCACATACACTGACACCTGCACTAACCCCAAGCACGCACTCTACATCATCATAAAAAACAGGCAGCTTTATGAGGAATGGAGCACAGCCAAGAAGACAAAAATCAGCTGTGCACAGCAGGGCTGCACACCGAGGGACTTTAAACATTAAACTGTCAGTTTGTACTAAGCTGTTAAAACCATAATGAAAAAAATAACAAATGACATTTTTCTGCTTACCCAGGTCGATCGGCCCCTCTCGGAGCCCGTCCAGCTCATATAGCCTGCCATTTACAGGAACGTAGCTCACAAAGTGGAATGCGTCCTCGTCCTTCGCCGAAGACTTTGCATCAAATTCAAACATTTGCTGTCTGCAAATGCAAAAAACACAATTACAAAAAACCTTATACACAAATTATCGAGTAAGCGAGGATGCAGGACAGAACAGAAGTGACTCTCACATTTGCCCGTCTTACAAAAAAGGCACACTCGTCCACTGGCAAACAAATCGACCAATCTCTTTTATTTTTCATCTTCCCCAGCTGGAAATGACAGGAGCAGAGCCTCACCTGGCAAAGCTGTTGTGAACTTGTCGGATCACTTCTGAGTTGCTGAGAGCCAAACCTTTCATCTGAGGAGAGGAGAAGATGCTGATTTTACGGGTTGTCACAAGACACCACTTAATTATTTTCTCATCATGGGTTTAAATAGCTTGTTAACAAGTCATTACAGTAAATTATTATATTACTGACTGCTACCAACGTATAGTACATATAATAAACAGACTGATGCTACTGTTCATTAGAACAATGTGTCAACATGATTG